GGCTGGCATGTGGTGCTGGGGGATTGAACCGCGGTCCCTGATGCTTTTGCTAAGCTTGTTCCAAGTAGGTGCTCTAGACCACTGAGCCATCTCTCCAGCCCATCAACATTTAATCTTTAAAGAAAACTTGGATGGCACCATATTTGGGTCTTGTGTCATGAGGGGTTATCATTTTTGAAATCTTTAAGGAAAAAAGTACTACATTGAAAATTAAGATCTGTGAGTATATAAAGAATCAGGGATACCAAAAACTCATACCCACCTGGTGAAATGTAAAAGTCCTGTAAGCCAGCTAATAATCTATAATTATAACACATATATTTCCTAATGTCATTTTAATCAGTGGCCCATGGAACATTCTAGATGAATGAAAAGCATACTTGATAAATGTTGATATAGATGAGGAAGTCATTATAAAACTTAGGAATATAATCATTTGACAGATTCCATTTAGTTTTTCTGAAAAATGTAGCATTAAATAAATCACTGATTTTGAATATAACATGGAAAGTAAAATAACTGATGTGGTTTTTAGTATTTATCATGTATATCAGGAAATAATTTTTTTTTCTTGTATTTAGTACAGGGTCTACAGTGTCTCACTACATAAATCTGACTCATAGTGATCCTCCTGTTTTCAGCCTCCCAAGCTCTGGGATTACAGGTGTGCGCCACCACACTCAGTCTCAATCGCTGTCTCAGCGCACCCAGGGGGTGGGGCTGGCATGGCATGCTGTGGATACAGAGTACCACTGTACTCTGCCTAAGCAGGTGCTTTAGTCTGCTGAGTTATCTGCCCAGCCCTCAAGAAATAAAAGGTTTTAGATCTACTGAAATTATTGAACACATGTAGAAGCTCAGAGGCATGCTCATGTAATTATGAGAGAAAGATCAGATAGGCACCAGGAACAAAATGAAACCTTAGATTAGACAGGATGGAGAATACTAGAGGAGAGCTATCAGGTAAAAGAAAAGTGGGACTCACAATAGTAAGCAATGTAGCACTTTTCCATATGGATTATCAAAATGCATTAAGTTAGATCACTGCGAACAATGCAAAAACCTGGACTGTTATCTGCATATACATTTCTAACATCACACCTCAAAGAAATATACTTTAGAGGCATAAAGAGAAAATTTTTGAATATTTAGCCTTTACAGAGTTCCTTTGACTCATTAAATATTGCTGTCTGCATCTAAATACATCAACAAAATAAAGTGTCTTTAGCAGGAATATTTTGTCATTTAATAAAATGACAAAGTCAGGAAGTCATTTAATGACAATTTTATGCAACTGGGCTGACAGTAATGTAGGGCTAATGGGTTGAATTACATTGAAAGGCTTAGTAAAGCATAGAGAATGTATACAAATAGCTATCAGCAAAGGTATAAAAGGAGAAGTGCCAAGTGTGGAGGAGCAGCAGTTCAACCAGAGTGGAAAACAGTGAAGTGAGGGAAGGTGACAGGAGGTGAGCTCGTACTACTGGGCGTCTCACAGAGGTGAGAATATCACTGTGAGATATGCACTCCTGTGGCAGTGGGCATTATTCGTGGTAGCCACGGGAGGGAGTCATCCTAAACACCTAGCAGCAGGTAAGTAAAGGTGGCATAGGTACACAGTGGGATGCTACTCAGTCTTTAAGAAAGGAAACTATCGTTGATGGCAACATGGGTGAATCCAGAGGGCATTACGTTAAGAGCCATAAGCCAAGACTGGAACACATACTGCGTCATCGTACTACATGTGGAACCTTAAAAAGCCAAACTCACAGAAGCAGAAAATATGATTATCAGGGCTGGTTTGGGAAGGAGAAGGACTGCTTGAAAGATTAAATTTTTCAGTTAGGTAAGAGGAATAAGTTCCAGTGATACATTTGCACCATAATGACTATAGTTAGTAAATTAAAAATGTAGGGGGCTGGTGAGATGGCTCAGTGGTCTAAAAGCACCTACTTAGAACAAGCTTAGCAAAGCACAGGGACCGCAGTTCAATCCCCCAGCACCACATGCCAGCCAGCCCCGCCCCTAGGTGGGCTGAGCTGGCCACACACACACACACACACACACACACACACACAAATAAATAAAAATAAATTAATTAAAAAAAATAAATGTATGCTTGAGAATTGCTAAGAATAGATATTAAGTGTTCTTACCAGAAGTCAATGTGTAAACTCCCTCCCCCAAAAGATAGTTAAGTAAGACCAGGTTATAAACTGATGAGAGGCTATTAAGAATTTTGTTTTGGGAGCTGGGGAGATGGCTCAGTAGAATAAGCGCTTGCCTGGGAGGTGCATGGTCCCAAGTAAAATCCCCAGTACCACAAAAAAAAAAAAAATTTTTTTTTGTTTTAGATTTTTTATATATTGTAGACTAGCTTATTATGTAAAATACAACAGCAGTAAATTATTAGAACAGTGAAAACTTACATGCCCTAATATTTTATTAATTCAACCATATAATTACCATTTTACTTGTCACATCAAATATGTAGCAAGAAATGAATTATGAAAGCTGTAAGTT